TGGAATGAATTAGTAAACTTCGATCGATAGTTTCTACCAGACCAATCGATCGATGGTGGATCAACGGTGGAATGGTGTCGGTCGATCAATTAATGCTACCTGACCTATCGATCAACGTCGATCGAAAGGAAACGATCGATCGATTAGTCGAACGGTATCCATCCATAAATTAAAGCGTTCGACGTTTAACTGTGCCGTAAATAAACGACCGAACGATTGGTCTGGTAACACCCTTATTACATATGTAAATATCTTTTACGCATGCTATATAGCTAAGAAGGTAAGTGAGCTGTTCAACTGATGTTAAGTGATTACCGCCACCCATGGATACATTGAATAGTTGCCAACCTAAAAAAATCGTAATACGATAGGTTATTAATTATTTTCCTTCACTTTGTTATCGCCTCAGAGCAGGGCTAAAGTGACAAGTAAGGAACACAAGGACTTTACACCCTACTTCGATAAAGGAGGAGTTCCTCAATTTGGTTGTGTGTAAAAATAATACCTCTTTAATATATTAATTGATGTATTGATGAACAGTTCAGCGGCCGGCGTACCGCCAAGATATGGCGCTGTTGTCAATACCGGGCAAGCAATCGCACAAGTTCCCGCGTCTTTTAACCGTATAGTAGACGTAGTAAGAATGTTTCATTATACCCGTACATCATTCTTTTCCCCTGGATTTCGCAAAACTACTGGGTGTTTTTATTGAACTTGAAAATTTAGCTTTTACTGTGAAAATCAAACGCATCCGTGAAGCCACACTATATTTCCATATCCCAAGAGCAGTTTCTTTTAATTATCAGACTATGGTACCTATAACAGAAACTTGTAGTGCTCAACAACTCTGCAAATAACTAGAATAGTCTAATAATAATAATATCTTTATTGGGGAATCAGAAAAGACAATTTATAATTTTTATGCCAAATTTACCAATTAGCTTCTATAATTAATGGTGTTTAAAAAAGAAAAACCTGAACTAGTCATTCGTGGTCCACTTCAAATGAAACGCAGCGTATGTGTTATGGATATATTTTTTATTAATTTCACAAAATTATTCATTAAAAGCCACAATCTCAAGGCTTTTAAGCTGTTGAAGCGACGACGGTTGCAACACGGTTCGCCGTTATCGCTAGCTCGTCCAACTGAGCTAGAGAACTGGAATTCCGAAGCTATCTAACGTCCTACATTATAAACGTTTACATCTTTTATAGAAAATATCCGTACATTCCGTTAAAAGGCAGTCGAAGCTTGCAATGTTCATCTATTGCATCTAAGGGCCGCTGCAGGTGAGCGGTTAAAAAAACGCCGCGAGTGCGCGTCCCAACCGCCCACGCCGTTGGCTCCATAAACAATGACAATTTAATTACTTAATATTAACGTGTGAATAAAACTATATTTACGTATAGTAGAATAGCTCCGTGTATCATTTATATAATTATATCGTGAGAAGCGACACTGATTCATTTCTTATAGGTATCCGAAACATGTATATGTATATTGAAGCTATTTCGTGGTATCTAATCCCAACGCCTTAATTTAATACAGGAGACGGCAATGAGCTTAGACCCAAGATTATAGATATAAGTGTTCATACTATCTACATTATGCGAATTATTAATCTACCAATTGTTTGCGTATTAAAATGATATCTGTTGCATTTAAAACAAATGGCGTAAGGTCACATTCCGTCTCCCATAAATAAAATCGATTATCCTAAGAGTGTTACAGACACAAAAAACTTCACATGATTAACTTCGTATTATATTTTATCAATATTGCGTCGGCTTTGGAATTTATAACGGACTTAGAAAACTTTTACATGGGTCCCGAATTGCTCTATGCCACATATTCGTTACATTTAATTTATTTGCGTATGATGCGTTAGGATTTATAAATAATTTATGCGGATTCAATAGGATATTAGGTACAAAATATATCATTATTAGAAGCTCAAAGTTTTCAAACACCTTGTTTTGATGAGAATCGCTGAATATTAAATAACGATCCTCTTTGGCCAAACAGGCAAAATAAAGTCCCAATGAATTATTTATTACAGGGGGACCCTTATATTAAAATACCAATCTCAAATGAAGAGTGGACATCGAAATGCCCGAAAGCTTGATAAGCCAAAGTTATCATAAATATATTAGTATATTAATATTATTCCACGCGGTGACATACTTAGAAAAAATATTCGTCTTTAGCAATCAATACGTATTTTATACAAGCTTAAGCAAAAATAAATTCTTTATATATATCCATAGGGTTCTATGTATTTGTATAAACTATGCTACATCCAACGTGTTACACCAATCTGCTTTCAAAACTCATTTCGCGCCATTTGAGCTGTCAAACGACTGTCAAGATTGGCGCGAAAACTTTGACATAAACTTCGAGCACGATTATTTTTATTAACCGCTCGCAACCGAAAAATTACTCAATTTAGACTTAACTAAACAGTTATCCGAAACGACCGACAGTGTTTAGCTATACGAAGCTGGCAACACTTCCCGCCAATTTTAACTACACTAAAATTATTCATATCCCAATATGTTTACAAATTTTATTTACAGTCCCACCGAAAAAGTATCCTAACCGTTAAATTTCCACATAACCAACTTGACAATTTAACTAAATCAAACAAAATATGTCTATGGTAGCGTTTGGACTAACTTGAAGACTGTTTTATATTCAAAGATAAAGCTGACATCATTCGTTTTCATTTCACATTCATTAAGAACAGCTACACATTTACTTTTCTTTCAATGTATAATATATATAAATAAAAATCTATTCTGTCCAACTCTTGACCGGCAACAAATAGTTTTCGTTATTAAGTAAAATAATCACCATATTATATAACATGACATAAAATTTACAATTCGCACAATGTTAATAATACTTTTCCTGCACTTGTACAAACATCAGAGTAAACTTATATACTACCATATAATAGAAAATATTTCTATAGACTAGTAATTAAAAGGTAACTATCATTACTAGAACACAAGCTTAATTGTAAACGTAAGTTGATTTAATCAATATTTATCAAAAATGCGTATTTCATAAATAACTACGAAATGAAGCTTTACGAAAAAGGGGCGGTTCACACACAAGACGTTATAATTACTGTCTTAAGACCTATAACCATAATCATCGGACATTAGTCCAATGTAACTTTTGTCTATACACCAAAGAATTTTCTTGTCTATGCATATTATTTAGAAACGATAGCAGTAGTTAACGAAGATATTCTGACTTAAGGTTTTCTTGATAATATTGAAAGGGGTTTTTAAGCTGTAGCATATGAGCCAGCTTAGAGGTAATTGAAAGGCGTGACCGATATTATTTAGAAACCAATGTTACTACTACACAAATAATATATAATAAATAAGAAATTATATAGTGGCAATGGAAATCATCGATACAAAGATTGTGCAAAGCGGTTGTGAATTTTTATAAATATTATAATAACTTTTCCGTGCGCTCAATTAACTAAGCGATGTTGCTCACACAATTATAAATGTAAAAATTATCAACACTCGTTTTGTATCTTTAAATTTTTTTTTACGTGTAACCAAAATTAATATTGTCACAGAATTTAAATATATATATATATATATATAATATAATTTTGTGCATCAACGAAAACCTAAAAAAAATCGATATACATATTTCGTACAATAGATGGGTGTAAAATTTTTGTCAGGTTACTAATCGATTTTAATCAAAACGATACTAACGTAGAACATACAGACGTTCTAGGCTATTACAGATCTGCACTAAAATATAACATATAAACACATAAAACGGTAAATTCCACCTTATTAGTAGGACTCTAAACTCGTACAGTAAGACTGGCAGGTTGGTAGTGGCCAATATGAGATTGCCGCGTTTTGAACAACTGAAAAAGCGATAGGTAGTCGTTAGGCTGGAGTTTTAGCGTGCGGCGTGCGTTACGCTATGCGCCTGGCGATTTCAGGCCGGATTCATTCTGCAAACGGGAAAAAGGCAATTGTAAATCGAAGCATAATAACAAATATACTATTTGTCTTATTTAAAGGTTTATTTTACACCACGCAACACCTTCTGTTGTTGTTTGAATGGACAGCCTTGTCCGGGTAAGTACTAAGGTCTCAAAAGACCGGCGTGATGTGGAGTGAGGTTTTAAACATTGACACATCCTAACTGGTATTATAGATGTCAACTGCGGTAATCACTTAACAGCATGTGAATAGTCTGCACGGGAACAACTTCGGTGAGCTTGGTTAACCTATTTATTTTGACGATTCAGTGGCGCAGTTGCCAAGTTACTGGCTTCGGCGCCGGGGGTCGTGGTTTCGATTCTCGCACGAGACAACTAATTTTAATTTCGGATCTGGGTGTTTGTCCACGTGAAATTAATTTATGTAAAACGTAATGTAAACAACATAGGTTGTTGTAAGGACATTAATGTTATCCTATAGTGAGGGACGGGATTTTCGAAGGTAAGACTACAATGGATCTTTTAAATCGCAGTGGTCGTTGAGATTCACCACCCAAGCCCTTGCACAAAAAGACTTTATCAGTATTATAGTTTAGCGTCTTCGGGAATCTCCATACAGAGAATTCATCAACAATTATAGTGCCGTTTTCGATATCAACCATGTTTAACGTGTGCGTATGCGTGTCCGTGTGTGTGTGCGTTCGTGTGCATGCGTGCGTACCGTGAGCTCAGAAATACGCTGTTAGCTTCGATTTGGTTAGCCAAGCTTAACGTGTGCGTGTTCGTGAAGTGCATGCGTACCGTTAGCTCTGAATGCGCTGTTATGCTTGGCTTTGGCTAGCCATGCTTGACGTGTGCCTGTGTGTGTGCGTACCGTAAGCTAAGAGTGCGCTGTTATGCTTGGCTTTGGCTAGCCATGTCTAACGCGTTTACTTGTTGGTGTGTATGCGTGTTTGTGTGCGTGCGTGTATGTGTGCGTGCGTGTTCGTGTGCGTGCGTACCTTTGATTCAGGAGGCGCGGCGGCCGGTGAGCGAGCCCACCAGCGACTTGAGCGCCTGGCCCAGCGAGGCGCGCGACTCGCCCGGCGTCGGCGCGCCCACCGCTGCGCCGCCGTGCGCGTCCAGGCACTTCTGGTAACGCAGCTGCGGAACCACGCGTTTGTTCATTTGTCTGTATGCTCTTTATTGTGCTCAATGTCTGTACGCAGGCGAACATAATGCTAAATAGCATTTTCTTCCAGTCAACCTTTGGTGGTCGAGAGTGAATTACGGGTAGTACCGCGAAAATGTACCCCGTCACACCTGTAGTCTCGGGCCCATGGAATAGGGCTAAGGTATCCCCTGTCTGTCGTAAGAGGAGACTAAAAGGGGACTGGCAGCAGCATGGCGACGGAATCGGGGAAGGTTTATCCCTGGCGTGTTCACGCGCAGTGCTGAGGGACACCAATGCGTTCCGTAGGATATCCCGGGGTCCCTCCAAACGCACAGAAGGTGTCCACGATTGGGCATGATTTTAATCGTTACGAATCCCACATAACCCTGTCATATCATGATCATAGGGTATCTTGAATATTTCCCCCAGATACCAAAAACTAAAAAGCTAGGTACCGACGTTAACGTGGGCGGTTCATTAGCGTTTACAACATTTTCATGCAACGTAATGAACTCGCGGATGTTGTAAACGTCATTGGGCGCCGTTTATCACCTAACAATAGCTCGTTTGCCACCTTAAAAAGAAATAAGGGCCCCCAACGGCCTCTGCCCCCAACGGCTTCGCCGTGTGGTGCCGGCGTAAGAATAAGCCACCCCATCTCATCCCGTGGGTGTCGTAAGAGGCGACTAAGGGACAAGCCACAAACATCTGGTGGACACCGATAGATGGCGGGATAACCATCTCGACTCTCCAGACCCTAAATAACCAGGCCAATAACGGGCAGCAGCGTTATAGGTGCGAGGAGTCTGGAGGAACTGCGGTTGCCAACCCGCTTGCCAGGCGTGGCAACTATGGCACAACCCCCCCCCATGATAGAAGTCCAAAAAGTACGGCCCCCAGTCCCCGGCGGCCCTGCTATTCCTGGCTACGGTAGCGGTCATGGTAACGGCAGGGCAGGGGTGCTAAGAATCCCCGGCTAGGATTCGGCTACCAACGACGGCGACTGACCTGGCAACATACAACGCAAGAACATTGAGGACTGACGAGAAGATTACAGAGCTGGAAGAAGAGGTGAACAGGCTGCGCTGGGATATAATAGGATTATCTGAAGTCCGAAGACAGGGGGAGGACACGATAATCCTCGAATCCGGCAACCTGTTTTACCACCGGGAGGGCGACCAACTGTCCCAAGGAGGTGTCGGATTTATCGTCCACAAGTCTCTCATTAACAACGTTGTTAAAATCGAGGGTGTGTCGTCGAAGGTTGCGTACCTTATACTCAGAATATCCAAACGGTATTCGCTGAAGGTCATACAGGTCTACGCACCAACGTCGACACATCCCGATGATGAGGTGGAGGCAATGTATGAGGATATATCACGAGCCATACATTCCTCCAATACTCAGTACATGGTGTTAATGGGAGACTTCAACGCAAAACTAGGCAAAAGGAAAGACGATGAGCTGAGAGTAGGTAGTTTTGGAATAGGGCAACGGAACCCAAGGGGGCAGCAGCTGGCTGACTTTATGGAGAAGGAGGGACTCTTTATGATGAACTCCTTCTTCAAAAAGCAGCCCCACAGAAAGTGGACCTGGACTAGCCCCGATGGTTCTGTAAAAAAACGAGATAGACTTCATTATGACGAACAAACGGCAAATATTCAATGATGTCTCTGTGATCACAAGGGTGAAGACCGGCAGTGATCACCGATTGGTGAGAGGCACATTGAATATTAACATCAGGCTGGAAAGATCTCGTCTAATGAAGTCCACACTCCGACCATCTCGTTCCCATATCCAGAACTCCGAAAGCTTTCAGCTCGAGCTACATAATCGCTTCCAATGCCTAGAAAATTGCAGCACGGTGGACGATATTAACGCTAAGCTCGTGGAAACTGTCCATGCCGTGGGCCTTAAATTTTATAAGGCCCGTCGGACAAATAGAACACAAAAACTCTCCGATCACACTCTTCACCTCTGGGGAAAAAGACGTGAGATGCGGCTGCAGTCTTTAACTGACATGTCAGACTACAGGCGGCTTAATAGGCAGATCTCCAAATACATGCGGCGAGACTTACACAACTTCAATACAGCCCGTATTGAGAGAGCTATAGAGCGGAACCTAGGCTCAAAAGTCTTCGCCAGAGATCTGGCTATCGGACAAAGCCAACTGACTAAGTTGAAGACTGACAGCGGAGCTATCATCTCCAGTAGACCAGAGGTTTTGAGTGAGATTGAGAGGTTTTATGGACAGCTGTACACATCGTCGTTGGAGCCACACACATGTGTGAGTAACGACCCAAGAGCAAAGCTTATCCGACACTATTCCGAGAATATCCCGGACGTCAGTCTGAGCGAGATTAGAATGGCTCTTGACCATCTTAAGAATGGCAAGGCATCGGGAGAGGACGGAATTACAGCAGAGCTTCTGAAAGCGGGTGGAGAACCGGTACTTGTGGTCCTTCAGAGGCTCTTTAATTCCGTCCTTCAGGGTGGTCCTACACCAGAGGCGTGGAGCAGAAGTGTGGTGGTGCTGTTCTTCAAGAAAGGCGATAACGCTCTCTTGAAGAACTATAGACCGATATCCCTTCTGAGCCGCGTCTATGTGCTGTTCTCAAGAGTCATCTTGAATCGTCTCGCTTCCAGACTCGACGACTTCCAGCCTCCCGAACAAGCCGGATTCCGAAAAGGCTTCAGTACCATAGACCACATACATACCTTGCGGCAGATTATACAGAAGACCGAAGAGTATAATCTGCCTTTGTACCTAGCGTATGTGGACTATGAGAAAGCCTTCGATTCTGTCGAAATTTGGGCGGTACTCCAGGCTCTTCAGCGGTGCCAAATTGACTGTCGGTATATCGAAGTGCTGCAGTGTTTGTATAACAAGGCTACGATGTCCGTCCAAGTACAGTCCAGTAGTACAAAACCTATCCAACTGCAGAAGGGTGTAAGACAGGGTGATGTCATATCCCCGAAACTCTTCACCGCTGCGTTGGAAGATGTTTTCAAGCTTCTGGACTGGAAAGGACGAGGTATTAACATCAATGGCGAATACATCACCCACCTTCGATTTGCCGACGATATAGTCATTATGGCAGAATCGCTGGAGGACCTGGGTACTATGCTCAATGACCTCAATAGTGTCTCCCAACGGGTGGGCCTTAAGATGAACATGGACAAGACGAAGATCATGTCTAATGTCCATGTCACGCCTATACCGGTTGTTGTTGGGAGCACTGAGCTCGAAGTTGTTGACGAGTACGTTTACCTAGGACAGTTAGTCCGGCTAGGTAAGTCCAACTTCGACGCAGAGGTCAATCGGCGAATCCAACTCGGATGGGCATTGTTCGGGAAACTTCGGCAAATATTCTCGTCGAATATACCTCAATGTTTGAAGACTAAAGTCTTCAATCAATGTGTGTTGCCAGTGATGACCTACGGAACCGAGACGTGTCCTTCACTGCTGGCCGTATGAGGAAGCTCAAAGTCGCTCAGCGAGCTATGGAGCGGGCTATGCTCGGTATTTCTCTGCGTGATAGAGTTCGTAACGAAGACATCCGCAGTAGAACTAAGATAACCGACATAGCTCAGAGGATTAGCAAGCTGAAGTGGCGATGGGCCGGCCATATAGCTCGTAGAACCGATAACCGTTGGGGAAGAAAGGTTCTCGAGTGGCAGCCTCGTACTGGCCATCGCAGTGTAGGACGACCCCCCACAAGATGGAGTGACGACCTGTGCAAATGTGCGGGAAGTCGATGGATGCAGGTGGCTCAGGATCGTGCTTCATGGCAGTCTGTGGGGGAGGCCTATGTTCAGCAGTGGACTCAAACAGGCTGAAATGATGAATGATGAACGGCCTCTACAGGGGAACATAGAGTTTAAGGTACGACCGAACCGATACGACCCGAATGGCGTGGTGGGTAGTGTACCTGCCTCCTGCGCCAAAGGGTGTGGGTTCGATCCCCACTACTGGAAAAATATTGTGTAATGAGCATGGTGTTTTTCCAGTGTCTGGGTGTTTACATATGTATAATATGTATTTATTTACAAAAGAAAAGTATGTTTAAGTATATTTATCAGTTTTCTAGTACCCATATTACAAGCTTTGCTTAGTTTGGGACTGGAAAATGTTGTGTAAGAAAATGTGGCCTAAAAAAAAAGAAAAAAGGTACGTACCTTGCAGGCGGCCTCGATGGTCTTGCAGAGGGCGCCGGACGAGGGCTCCGCGTGGAACGCGTGCGCCACGAACAGGTCCTGGGCGGTGTGCACGATGAACGCGCAGCGGCGCACGTCGCGCCCTATCCCCAGGAAGGACAGGTAGCGCACGCGGCACTCCACCACCGGGCTGGTCTCCTGCGACGTGCGCGCCGTTTGTTTTGTCCCTCTTTCTCTTTCTTTGCGAATGCGCGACATAACCCAAATTGTAGGGGGGGGGGGGGGGGTATTAAAGATGATCAGATACGAGTTTGACAACAAAGTCGGATTGCAACAAAGTTGGATCCAGAAACGATTTTTCTTCGTAAAAAAAGACAATAGTCACTCCCAGCTTTTAGTGAGTACCCGTTTCTAAAAAAAGGGCAATAGTCACCCCCTCCTCGGTGATAGTGGTCATAAAAAAAGTAAAGTAATATTTTATTACTTACTAGATGACTCCGTGGCGTAGTTGGCAAGATATTGGCTTCGGCGTCGGGGTCGTGGGTTCGATTCCCACACGGGACAACTATTTGTGCGACCCACAGATAGTTGTTTCGCATCTGGGCGTTAGTGCGCGTGAAATTTATGTTTGTGAAACGTCCTTACACGGGATATTGTTATCCTAAAGTGAGGATATGTGTTAGAGTTTTTAATAGTGTTTTAAAAAAAAGAAAGAAAATAAAAAAATATTTTTAATGTTGTTTTATCTATTATTTTTAATTTAGCTTTAATTTCTTTTGTCTTTTATTTTTGATGTTTGAGAAGTAATGTTTTTTTATTATTTAGTGTTCGCTCATGGAGGAACATTCACTTGAGTTTTTTTAGCGACGTGTCCACTATTCCGTGATGTGAGTGCGATGTTCAGTTCTCGATACTGTATAAATAAAAAAAAGTAAAGGCAATATTCACCCCCTCCTCGGTGATGGTGATCATGGAGGGCGCGACGGCGACGGCGACCGGGCGCCAGGCGGAGGGCGCGCGCGCGGCCGCCAGCCGCTCGAGCGCGTCGTTGAGCACGTCCATGCCGGTGGCGCGCGGCACCTCCGCGCTGCCCAGGTAGCGCGCGCGCACCGTCTTGCGCGGCTCCTCCATCGGCGTGGGGAACGACGCGCCTGCGGCACGCGCGCGTTCGCAATTCAAAATTCGAAATAGCTTTACTCGAAAGTAGGCATGAGATATACCTGCAACATTCTGTACCCGGCCTCAAAGGTACGGGTATCGCCGTATACCCGGTGCTAAAACCCAGTATCAAAATACCTATAGGTATAAGTTATGTTCAGCCTCCTTTTGGAGACTCGATCGAATCAAACGAATTGAACCTTTGGTTGGAATTGGAACACAATAAGTTTTTTGAAATTGATATTTAATCAGTCTAAAATAAGCTCCATCTTTACAAACGTAAAGAACCCTATTACCAAAAAAAAATTCAAAATAAGTATTACTGTTTTACCTTATTACCCAATTATTTATCTACCTAATTGTCATATAAATAAAGAATAAATTAATCTCAAGAAATTATTTGGTATAAAATGCCATAAGCGGTCGAGCGCGAACGTTATGAAATACCGCCGCCGTCTGACGAGGCGGCGCTAGGTCCGCGTACTCGCGAGCGATATCGACAATACCTATCGCGTCCGGAACGGGCCTCTGCCGTACATACCCGGTCTGCGTACTGGTACGTTAATACTGGGTATTTATACCTGTTCCAGTATATACGCCTCATCTCTCGAAAGGCACGGAACACACGCGCGATCGATATTCAAAATATCTTTACTCAAATAGAGGAATTCAAAATTTGAAATGTCTCTATTCGAATGGACGCTGGCTGGCAAATTCTGCACTAAAACACACGCCCCATCGAAATTCAAAATATCTTTATTCGAATAGATGCTGGCTCGTTCCTGTTCTCAACACACGTTCAGCGATCGTTATTCGAAATTCGAAAAGCTTTATTCGAATAGACGCTGCCACGTTACTGTACTAGACACGCGCAATCAAAATTCTCATTATTAACAAGATCATTTTGATCAATTCACAGACTTTAACCAACAAATTTACGGTGGTAGGGTCACGCAGCAGCCTCGACTGTTGCACGAATGGGCAGGCTCATCCCGGTAAGTACCACGACCTCACAAAAGACCGGCGTACAGTGGAAGTATATACTTTCGCGTTTCGTTTGGTGAGTGAGGTGGCCGGAGCCCAAATTTCAAAAGGTTGTCAACGCATCAGCAAACCCTCGGGTGTAGCAGATGTCCATGGGCGGCGGTATTTACTTAACACCAGGTGAACCGCCTACTTTCTTTGGAATTTTTCACATAAAAAAATAAAAAAAATCCTTTTGGCAACTCAAGACATTTGAAGGCCCAAGTGGCCTTCAAATGTCACTTGAGTTGCCAGCTGACAGCAGATTAGTTAACTCCTACGATGACCAGTGTTTCTGAAAGCGTACGTGAGTGTACGTACATTATGACACTTTCAAACAATAATCAATGAATAGTTTAACGAGAGATATCGCTGTCGCTGTTGTAACAAAATTACGTACGTCAACATTACTCGACTGCTGAAACTTAGCATATACGAGTCAACCACACCGCACTTAAATACTTAAATAATAGATTCAACTAAAGTAATTAGTTTAGCCCTAGTCGTTCTTCATAGTCAAACGGCAGCCACATAGGGTTGCACCCAACTGGGGTGACGAAGCGGTCGTTACCGGAGAGCGGACGGGGGCGCCTGGCGGCCGGCAGGTCGGTGGGCCTCGGCGGCGGCTGCAGCGAGCGCTCGATCATGATGCGCTTGCAGATGTCGCGCAGCGCGTTCGCGATGGCGCGCGCCGGCGCCTCGCAGCGGAACACGTGGCACATGTGGCGCCGCGTCGCCCGGTCGCGCGCCACGTACGCGAAGTCCCTGCGCGGGGGTGCTTTACTTGCCGCGGCGCTCTAATTGTGGCGCCGGCGCTCTTTACTTGGCCTCGGCGCTCTTAACTAGGCGCCGGCGCGCTTGGCGTGACGTCGACGCGCTCAGACGTGGCCTCGTCGCATTAACGTGACGTCGTCGCATTAACGTGGCGTCGGCGCGCTTAACGTGACGTCGACGCGCTCAGACGTGGCGTCGTCGCGCTTAACGTGACGTCGTCGCATTAACGTGACGTCGGCGCTTTTAATGTGACGCCGGTGCTTTTGACGTGGCGTCGACACTCTTACGCCCTGTTTCTGAAACACTGACCATCGTAGATGTCAACTAATCAGCTGTCAAATGGCTTTTCAAATTTCATTTCAGTTGCCAAAAGGATGGTTAAACTCTCTGAATTGACCAGAATGATCTTCTCAATGATCAAAATGACACTTGACAGCTGATTAGTAGACGTCTACGATGATCAGTGTTTCAGAAACCGGGCGTTAGTGTTGCGTCGGCGCTCTTAACGTGTGACAGCATCAATGATGTAACATCGGGAATGGTATCACGCGATAGTAGTGGGACTTGATGCTAGTGATGTGATGTCAGCGCGTGGCGTTACGTTTGAGTTAGTAACGTGTGTTTGTAATGGTAGCGTAATGGTAGCCAGTAGCGTGACATTGACGCTTGTGGGTGACGTGACGTTTTTTTCACAATATAACGTGAAAATGTTTAAAAGCGTAAAGCAATGTTGTGTTTTCTCCAACTATGCGATCCACTCAGCACAAATAGTACTCAATTGATATGATTTTTGGGCGTTTAAAGCTATTCAACGCCTCAAAGCCCATAGTGAACAGCCACAACTGGGTGGTTGGTACTATTCTATTGCTGTGGCCAGCGAAGTTATTCAACCTATACAAGATCTATGACTACATGAAATTTTCTATCGTTTCAATACAACACATCGCGTATCAGAGTTGAAACAATTATTTGTTGAAGTTTTTTACGAAGTCAACAAAGAAATCGATAAAAAATCGACAAAATGAAGTATTTATTGATGAGGTGGAAACTATCGATACAGCGAAGAAACCATACTAAGTACTAATCGATTCCAAAAAGTCGTTTTCCAAAACGAGAATAATCTAAAACCTACAAATTTCAACTGAATGCCTCATACCTTTCACTGTCCCAAGAATGCGATTGAGAAAAAATTTTTTTTAGAATTTTTAATTTTAGTTTCACATCTCTTATGATTTGTCTTTTTAAAGTGTCGTAAGAAGAAAAGAAATTTTTTGTACAAAATTCACTCCCAAATGCATATTGTAATGTAAATATGTAAGAGAAAATCTAGAAAAATAGTTTAATTGAGGTGAAGAAAACATTGAAACTAGATAGAAATGCTAGAGGGTAATAGTTTAATGTACTTTGTTTTTAGAGTATTACATGTAACAAAAACAATCTAAAGAAATTTAATAATAAAATATTGATATTTAAATTAAATAAGTTGAACTAATCGAGAATGTAAGAAAGAGACAAATTAAAAAGGATTATGATAAAAATTGTCTATGGTTTATGCTCACCGGCCGTTGTCTCTGCCTACTCCCCACACGCGTATGGTGTGTATGGGCTGTGTGTGAAGTGTGTTCAGACTCTCGGGATCGATCAGCTTCAACGCCCCGTCGTCGAGGTCCATAAATAAGTCCTTGCCCTGAAATGAGAGGAATTAGACGTTCAATAATTTATAGACAGAAAGATATTTACGTGTGTACTATTACTAAATGGTAATTGTGTAGAATAATGGCGAAAGAGATATACGGTAAAATTTATATTTCTTAAAGAGATAGCTATCTTGATACAAGCAAGTATTTATATATATTTTTTAAAAGAACATATTTACAACCTAGGATAACATTATCCTGTGTTGTAAATATATATTTGTAAGAGTAAAATATATGTTTGTTAAACGTCCGTACGTTTTACACGAGTCCTCAAGAATGCGTTTCAAGAGATCAAAACGCGATTTCGTTAACACTACACGCATTATTTTGCATTTGTGCACGATTAATAACAAAGTGCCAAGTTTTTTACCTGTGGTAGGGCCACGCATCAGCTTCGGCTGTTGCACGAATGGGCAGGCTCGTCAGGGGAAGTACCACGGCCTCACAGAAGACCGAGGTGAAATGGATACTTTCTCGTTTTTTGTCTGTGAGTGTTAGCCGTGGTCTACTTGACTAAAAGATTGCCGACGCCTCTGCAACCCCTCATGTGTTGTTGATGTCCGCGACTATCGCTTAATATCAGCTGAGCCGCCAGCTCGTTTGCCTTTTTCCCAGTGGCGGATTTGTGTTCTTGGCCGCCCTAGGCCTCAGCCCATGTAGTAAGTTCCAGCCGCCCCATTCTCAGAGCCCCGTATATATTGATAGCATCAGTGAATTTTTTGTCACCATAGGCCGCCCCTAATATGTGGCCGCCCTAGGCCCGGGCCTATTGGGCCTTAGCATCCGCCACTGCATTTTACGACATAAAAAGGAATCGTCTTGCATTCGCGCGGTGTTAACAACTCCCGCCCCTAATATGTGGCCGCCCTGGGCCCGGGCCTATTGAGCCTTAGGGCGAATCCGCCACTGCATTTTCCAACATAAAAAGAAATCGTCTGCATTCACGCTTACGTCGCCCCATCTGCCGACGTGGTCGAGCAGGTCGTTGCGGCCGAGGCTGAGGTCCACGATGCACTTGTTGACGGCGCGGCTGGACCGTTCAGGGGTCAGCTCCGCCTCGCCGATCTCCACCCAGCCCAGAGAGCGCACGAAGAAGCGGACCGCGCGCCCCCCCTCGAGCTCGCCGCGCGCCGGGAAGCTGCGCCGTCTGCGCAGAACGGCCGGATTTAAGGGAGGGTAACCGGGGCCAGAGCAGCGATAGTTCAGTGACTGTGCATTCGCCTTTAATTTACTATAATTGAGCGACCCAGAAGAGAAAAGAAGAAAAAAGCTCTGAGGGTTCCGTTCGTTAACGCAAAAATTTAATTTTAGGTAATTCTTGATTCCTGTGATTATGTTTATATTTTCGTTAAATAATAAAAGAATTGTTCATTTTATTTGGAAAATAATTTGGGGCCAAGGGGCCTGTACTCCTTTATTGCTACGAGGCCTCCAGACCTCTAAATCCATGCCTGTGCGCAGTGACACAATTAACGGTGAGGGCCAGCAGTCTGTTGTCTCAAGAATGGGTAGGCTCGGGAAAAAGTCCTTAGAGATCGGCGCGAAGTGGGACTTACACTTCTGCGGTTCGTCCGGTGAGTGAGGCACTCAACATAAGATGAACCGCCAGCTCGCTTGCCGCCTTCTTACATAAATAACTTCAGATACAGTGGACATCTTGCCGTTGCCGAGGATCATAAATAGAAGTCGTAAAAAAACTAAATAGACAATGAAAAACTTGAAACTTTATTTATTAAGTTTAATAATTAACTTAAAATAGGATTTTGTTCAACGCATTGCTATGATACGTGTGGTCCGCATGATGCAGGTCAGCTTGGAAAGGATTTCCACAAAACAACGTTTGCCGGATCAGCTAGTATATGATAATATATGATATATTGTAAGTTTTAAGTTTTAGTGCCAGTCTCGGCTATAAGAAGAAGAATGCACATAAGAAGAAACTTTAAAATGTGTAAATAAAACTGTCGCCTAACTCTTCGACAGGCGCTCAAAGGCATCATTCTGGCAATTTAATCACTAGATAGAAACTCACTTAAAAGTCGCACGAGCAATTACTCACTTGTAGGATATCTCCTCCCTCCTCTTCCTCTCCTCGTTGTCGACGCTGTCCAGGGCACCACTGGTGGTGCTCCTCACCACGGAGCCGGCCATGTCGTACTTGGCGTCCGAGAGGCCCGAGCAGTCGCGCACCATCGAGATGCGGGACTCTTTCCCATCCGTGGGCGGCATGATAGGCACCTCGCGCTGGATGGTGCCGCTCTTTATGTGCCAGTAGTACGGGCCGTCGTTATCTGCGAGTGGAGTAGGGACGCTTAAGGCACTAAAGCGAAGATGAGCACAGTAAAGAAAACGTCGAGCGCCGATAATGACGAAGATGAGGAAGATGACGAGGGTGCAGGAAAATTCGTGCTATCAAGCAAGAAAGGTTTCAAGCATTTTGTGCAATGTGGCGGCATATATTGTAGAAGTACTTGTCTTCCGAAGAAATGTTAAGTATTTGCTTCTTATTAGAATGCTTTAGAACACAGTAACCTATTTTTTACACATATTTGATACTTGCTGGTAATTTATTTCTTACGTATTTACTTACGAAATATAATGTTTTCGTAAACTCAACTTATCGATGTAAAAAAAAAACGATATGGTTTCGTTCTGGCGTGAAGTGGAAGTATTATACTTCTGCGTTTCGTCTGGTGAGTGAGGTAGCCGGGGCCCACTTTATTATGTCAATTGCCGGCGGTTATCACTTAACATCAGGTGACCCGCCAGCTCGCTTGCCATCTTCTCACATAAAAAGAGTTTCATCAACATACCTTCGTGCTTCTCCCAACCAGGGGGCAGCTGCGGTTCCTTCTTGGGCCTCAATTTCACCGGGATGGCGTAGAGATCATCGTTGGGACCCTCAGCGGAGTGGGGCACGGGACCTGAGTGCCTCTTCTCCGAGTCCTCCTGGTCCGCCCGCTCCTTCTCTGGTGGGGGGGACTCCTCCCCCCCATTCTGTTGGGGCGGCGTGATGAGGCCGTTCTTTTCGCTGAGGGATAATACACGAATAAGGACATTTCTAAGCAGTACCTGAATAATGTCTAAAACATAGTATATATATAACTAAGTATACTAGGCTTGTTCGGAGTTACGCAACCGAACAGCGACATTGTCACTTTGTGCATCATAGGCACATTACACTAACGTACATATGTACGTTTCATGCCTAATTTGCGGCAGTAAGCGATTCGCCACCGTCTAACCATAACCATACCATTTATTTATACTGCGTATTCTTTATACCAGTTTATACCATTCACCATTTATACCATAATAAACCATTTACCAGAATATTTATAAACTCTCTCCCTGTACAACCTTCTTCATGGTCCTTCGAGCTAGGCCTTCGGTTCGCGAGTGACTAAACCATCAGTTTTTCGGGAATTCGGAGACCTAACAAACCAGTGACTATACCAGTGTCTATACCAGTGAGCAGTGTGAAGAGTAATTATACCAGTAAGCAGAGATAACCAGGTCAGATCCAACCAATTGTTACTATTTTTTATTTAGTACATCGTTGTTACGAAGAGCTTTACGAAGCGTTGACCAAACTTTTATCGAATTTTAAAAAAGAAGGCAGCGATAGGAAGACAGTAGACAGTTGTCAACGTCGATTAAATTTATTAGAAACATATTGGAAAGATTACATACGTAATCATGAATATATATGTAGCAAATTTGACCATCCATATTTTAAGAAAAATTGTTTTGAAACGGCTCAGGAGATTTATCTGACTACCAAGGAACTGATTGAAAAAACCATTGAAAAACTATCTACCAAATTTGAACCAGAAATACCAGACCATCAAAAAAGCTGCGGTAAGCCAATTCTACCAGGGGATGAACCAGGTACTTCAGGCAGTAAGGAGGAGGCGCGAAACCATCGCGAAATCATCGGGGGGTTACAGTAAGATTGATGAGATGATTAGAAAACAGATTATTAATTTTAAAGCTTTTATGCGAACAGTAGGTACCATCAATATAGAGCAAATGCAAAATAAATGGGAATTTGAAGATGCCCTAAAATGCCTTCAAGATCGTTGGTCTATTGTCAATAAATTACATTGGGAGTTAGAATGTGAAAATAACGGAGAAAATCTATAGTATCAATCAGAATTTAATAATTACGAAAAAATTTTCAATGACTTGAAGAAAACCATAAATACTAGGATGTGGTCTATGGCACACCGTGAAAAATCGACTCCAAAAATGGATATTCCTGTTTTTAACGGAAATTATCATCATTGGACTTCTTTTAAGGATTTATTCAGCGAAACCATACACAAGAACCCGTCACTGTCAAATGCGCAAAAAATGCAGTTTTTGAAAAGTAAAGTGACGGGAGAAGCAGATCGCCTTACTCACCATCTTCAAATTAGCTCAGATAACTATGGAGTATGTTGGGATATACTAAACCACCGATTCGATAATAAGAGACTTATTTTCTCGTCTCATGTTAATATTTTGCTCGGTCTTCCTAACATGCAACAACAGTCTCTGAGTATGATAAAAAAGTTGCACGATGTTACCAAGGAAAGTCTACATGCCATAAGAAATCTCGGAGTAGAAATAACCACGTGGGATCCGCTGTTAGTACATTTATTAGCTCAAAAATTAGACCAAGATTCATTTGCTGAATATATAGAATCAGTGAAGAAACCTAGAGAACTACCAGATCTTCAAGAATTTCTAGACTTTTTAGAAAGTAAATTTACCACTTTAGAGGCATCTCGTCGTAAACAAGAACCAAATAACCAAAAAACTACCATTAAACCACCGTCGTTGCAGCACAATTTTTCATCAAACCAAAAGAGATATTTGAATCATTCAAATAATTATAACCAAAAATACAATTATAAGCCCGACAATAACGTGAAGGCATTGCATGTATCTAGGTCGATGGCTTTTATGTTGTGCAATTCTGACCACGGCTTATGGCAATGCAGCAAATTTTTACAAATGTCGAGCGATGAAAAGTTGAAACAAATAAACCAGTTAAATTATTGCACAAATTGCTTAGTTAACCATTTCAATAAACAGTGTAATTCTAACAAACGATGCCGCAAATGCTACGAAAGTCATAATACGTTGCTACACGAAGCGCTCAAGCCTAAATCAATCGCATCAGCAAAACCAAACCGTAGGTCAACGACTCACTTAGCCACCAGGGGACGTCATGATGGAAGGTATGAAGTACGACTTCCATTTAAACAACAATTAAAAGAAAAACTAGACGAAACCAAACCATTAGCTTTAGCTCAATTTCGAAATTTCGAGAAAGAAAATTAGAGAAAAATTTTGAGTTAAAAACTGAATACCATAACTTTATGAATGAATATAAAAATTTAAATCATATGATACCAGCGAGCATTAACATGACACCGGCGTGTTATTTACCTCACCATGCGGTAACACGAGCGGAGGCAACGACCACTAAGTTACGTGTTGTTTTCAACGCTTCTGCAAAATCAGCATCGGGAATGAGTTTAAACGATATTATGTACACAGGTCCTAATTAACAACAAGATATACTTGAACTTATTTTAAAATGGAGACAATACCAGTTTGCTTATACTGCTGACATTGAGAAAATGTACAGACAGATTATGATACATCAAGATGACCAAATATACCAACAAATACTATGGAGAGTGGGGAGAAATGCACCAATCCAGGCATTTCAACTTACTACCGTGACATATGGCACAAAACCAGCACCATTTTTAGCCATGATGTGTTTAAAACAGTTGGCTAAGGATGAAAAAGAACATTTCCCTATTGCTTCAAAAGCATTGAATGAAAGCTTTTATATGGATGATTTTTGCGGAGGAGCTCTTAATATTTTAAATTCTAAGCAGTTAAAGGAAGATTTAATAAAATTGTTGCAGAAAGGAGGGTTCAACTTAAGAAAATGGACAGCAAATGAACCAGAACTTATTGCGGATTTAAATAAAGACCAATGTAACCAAAACACATATGACTTCAAACAATCCGACTCAACCAAAACGTTGGGCCTAGGCTGGAACCCACAAAAAGATTTATTTATCTTCGAGTTTAAAATAGATACGGAAACAGCAAAATATACAAAAACGTTCGCTGCTTTCTGACATATCAAAGTTATTTGATCCGTTACGGTGGCTTACACCATTGAGTACTACCATGAAAATACTTTTTCAAAATATTTGGTTATCCAGCTTAAATTGGGACGACGAACTTCCTGTAAATATTAAAAACAAATGGAGAAATTTAAGAAATGAATTGCAAGGCATTAAAACCATTAAAGTAAAAAGATGGCTAGGAACAAGTGACCAGAACCAAAATGTAGAATTACACGGCTTTTGCGATGCTTCGAACAAAGCTTACGCCGCTGTCATTTACTGTAAGGTTCAAACAGACGCGCAGACAACCATCACAATCGTAGCGGCAATAACCATACCATTTATTTATACCGCGTATTCTTTATACCAGTTTATACCATTCACCATTTATACCATAATAAACAATTTACCAGAATATTTATAAACTCTCTCCCTGTACAACCTTCTTCAAGGCTAGTAACTAGTATGACTGGCTTATAATAATAAATAAATATATCTTGGCACCTAAGACAGGAGCCATGATAGCTCCAATGAGCTGGACAATTCCAGGCGCTCACTTTTAATTCAATATTGAGCAACATGAGTTCATTCCCGGTGCCAATTAAATAGTTTTTTTGCAATTTTAAGTGCTTACTTATCATGTGCTCTGCGATGAAGGAAAACATCGTGAGCAAAACCTCTATATTTTCGAAATATACATATATACATTTTCGTAATATTTCGAAGATATCGTAGTCCGTACCTTCTGTACGAAGGAGGCCTTTGCCCAGCAGTGATACATTGCGATGAAACAAATCCATATTTGGCAACAAATCAATCATAGATCTAACTATCGGTAAGTTATAAGCGTTCGTTTGACAGCCACACTGAAGTTCGACAGGACATTAATTGACATGACATTAAAATGACAGAATCGCATAAATAACATAAAATGTGTCACGCCCATGTGTCATGTCACTAACAAAGGCACCGTGTTAATTGAGTTGTGATTAACAACGCAAGCGTTTTAGCGGCTGCCGATGACACGTCATTGGGAACGCGCTTTCATGGTCACCGTATGTACTAATGCTATGGTGGTAAAAATTTATTTATTATATGTCCTATTATCTCTACTGCTCTATCGAATATAAAACTATTCCCTATTTAGAAGCTTCATCGCCCAGAGTATCGTAAGCTATAATTTAAGTTTGAAATGTTTTAATTAAAATCAGTTTTTTTTTAATTAGAAAACTTTAAAGTCGCAATGAAACGTTAATAAAGGTATTATTCAATTGTGATAGGTTTTTGTTTTGTTTATGTTCCTTAGCGTGACTTAGGTGAGTTGGTCCTCTGCGATTTCTAAATAGTCATGTAAAAATAAAGCGGTATATTTTATGGATTCGAGACTCGGGCCAGGTAGCTTTTTATTACCATCAAACTGTCAAATGCTGTCAATTTACTAATTGTACCCAAAATTCAAAACAATGTTTAGATAAAAGAATCTCGTTCCAACCAGGCCTCCGCTGAGTTTCTTTCGCCGGTTCTTCTCCATACAGGCTTTCTTTTCCGAACCGGTGGTAGTATTTTGAATATCAATAAGCGAGTGGAATACGCCTATGTTGAATAAAGACATCTGATTATGATTTTGCTCATGACGCCTCTCGTTTTTTTTAAATATCGATATTCCATACGCTTACCTAGCCGAGGCGGGGCATTTAGTGTTTTATAAACACGGAACCATAATAAAGAAGTCTAACTTTATGATACGGAAACATGAACTCCACTTTGAAAATGGTATGCCAAGCAGTTCACGCAACGCCGCCATTTGTGTTTCTCATATATTTGTTATTTATTTTTTAATGAGCCACTATTGACCACAGCGGAAGTGTGACGGTCAAAGGTTAAATGGACCGCAGTGAGTTTTATAGATTTCACATAAGTAATGGTTGATGTAAATTACCATAAACACTGCAGTTAAGTGGATTAGCACTAAAGCGTTTAAAAGTTAGGATAAAATTAGATTTAGCCCACGGGTTCTGCGTAAGGTGAAGCTTTAATAGTCTACGGACTGAAAGCGCTAACTTCAGATACAACATACATACGAAATTAGATTGCAAAGTATGGTTTAATTCCCTGCTTTTTTCTGTAATATGTAATTGCTTATTTCTTTAATATATCCAAATAGTTATTATGTTAACAGCTGATATGTTGATATCAGCTGATAACATACCTAATAATTATTTGGATTTGTAAATCAATCTCTACATACGGAAATCTAATATTTATACAGTTATGACTAAAAACGAAGAAATTGGTAGTATCTCTAATATCTCGTGTAGTATCTCTAATATCTTGCTAACATTTCTTACTTTATGCGTAAAATACTTACTTTACTTTTGTGACTGGAGAAGACGCCTCGTCTTCAACTCTGGAAAGAGAAATAAAATTGGTTAAACATTGCACTATAATATAAACAAGACATTTTAATCTCCGTTTGTCGCGTCATTGCCTAAACCGTTAGATTTCATACCGTAAAAACAGTTTCGGAAAGAAAGCCGTTGAGAGGTCGTAAATAAAGGGTTGAGTATTTCATCAAATAACTCTAAAACAATTGTTCAATAACGGTTTACGTGAAATGCTATAATTTATTTGTAAGTTGTCATTAAAAGCCTTCCGTCATTAAAATATGTTATTTTTATCAAACAGTTAAAACTTCATTTAATAATTTATAATCTGTGTAAATAATTGATTTGTCTGCGAAAACTCTCCACGTTGACTCAGAATACGGATCAGCGAAAGTTTCCATATTTCTGGCGCCGATGTACCATACCCTGGACTTGTTAGGACCCGATTAATTACTACGAAGTTTCCCGTCAAGATACCAGACTGGAATTTTCCAGAATGTACATTTACATTTGTATTTAAATTTCGTTTTTAAACAATGTTAAATTGTGGACAATGTGCAACACGAAGGGCGCAGACGGGGTCGGTTGAATCACCCTCTAAAGTAAGGGGTCAAAATTAAATTAAGTAAGGATAGCGTGCGACCCTAAAACGACCTCTTCTACGACTTTAAAAAGATAGTACTGTAAAAGTGGAATTTAAATTATTAAGATTGTTAACAAACATGTTTGTCTCATTTTTTTTTCTGCCGCGCTTTCAATGATATGTTTTTTTCGCCAAAACAAATAATCGCGCACAATTATTTGTTTTGGTGTTAGTCCATTCAGGTGAATTTTATAATTGATTTGCGTGCAGATAATTAAATTAATTATATAATTTATTTTTATTTTTTTAAATCAATTATAATTTAATTTTTCTAGGTGATAACTACTTTATAAACCCTTTTTACAAATATTATTTGAAAAGTCCAAAATTACCCTTTAATATTCTCATTATTTATTTACGTATATTGGCTTTTAAAGGGTTCACAAGTTTGACGCTCTATAAATATATAGAACAAAGATAAAGAATACTATAAGTTAGAGATAGAAGAAATATAATATTCATTAAAATCAATTGAAAATTTGTATACAAACCGACGAATGTTGAAAGTTTTTGATTGGATTTATCAAAGGAATTCATCGAGATTTATTATTTTTCTTTTTTTTTACATTTTGAACATTTTATAGCATGATTTGGGGCGGATTTAGATTGGTATTTGACGCCCTACTCATGTTTTATTTAAAAAAAATATTTTCATTCTATCTACGCATGTGATGCTTACACTTTTCAAATATTGCAGTATTTTCATGATTGGATTAAATTATTATACTTTAATTAAAGTGTATACGACACTTACTATATCTATTTCGTCTATATTCTTAATTTAAATTCTAGCGAATCATCTTTGAAAGATAAAATAGTTTCAGTTAGCACTATGTAAATGTCGTATTCTGAAATTTAAGAAAATGTTATGGATATATCCCTGTCACAAATCCTACTGTAACCCTACGTTCGATTTTTAAATCGAATGCAAAATGGCGTCGTGCATATTTCTGAACGCAAACCTTTGTGCGTCTGTATTATGCAAATGGCGGAAATAAAAGTGCACGTGCTGCGGACGATTCTAAAGAAAATGCTGGAAAACGGTCGCTTGTATGTTAATCCGAGTAATAAGTATGCTTTCACGTGTATTCCCTTAATCTCACTGTAAGAATTATTAGGGTCAGGCACGAATTCTTGTACAATTTCAAATGGAAAAATTTTCAACTACTCTAGAAGGTGAGCGGCGTGTTCCGAAACTTTAAAGTTTCGTCTAGTTTATTCTTTAAGATTGTCTGGCAACCCAACAAAGTTTCAGTACAACGTTGTAAAAGTAATTGCGGGTTCGGCGCAACAGAAACGTGTTTCGCAGTTGGGAATAAGTGGTAGGTTTTGTTTAAAGTATATTTGGCGGCAGCAAAGACGGGGTGTCTAAGTGTTCAAACTTAACAAACATCGAACGCAATGATATTCCCGATGAGGTCTAACGAGGTCCCGATTTACCCTTCGGGTACGGAAACCTAAAATCTGGGTCCCTGTTATCACGCATACCTAGACTAAACGTATAACACCCCCAGTCCCCCACTTCATGAGGTCTTCTGTGAGGTCGTGGCACTTCCTCGGACGAGCCTGCCCATTCTTGCAACAACAGAAGCTACTGTGTGGCCACACCAAGATATGACATTAAACATTAGCTTTACTTCGTTTTATCGAGCTAAGAGTAAGAGTAAAGGTAGAAATATATAAATACTTAATACTTTTATCTATATTAAATATAATAAATACTTTTATCAAATCACCGTTTACTTTGTACAACAATAACACCGGTATAATTACTTATTTTCACTTTTAGACTAAAGAATCACAAATCTAACGATTTAATATGTGATACCGATTGGGCAACACTATCGTATATACTTCTTGTTGACAGCCAAAAAAAACATAAAATGCTTCGTGCAACTTCATTTATACCACATAGTATTTTATGTCATTTTATGGTTACTAATAAGATAAAACTGTAAAATTATTACTTAACTCTGTTGGTGGTTTATTATATTTATGTCTTTTGGTGTAGATTGTGAAGCATTGCACAAAATTGCAAAAAAAAGAAGAACTTTTTTTTCTCAAAAAAAATTATTCTTCTCATTTTTATTATTGTCTTCCTTTGTGAGTTATCACAATGCAAGCCATTAATAAATGCCGTCAAGTTGTTCTTAAAATTCTCAATTTTATATTAGTCACAATAAAATTGTAATAGACAAATAAAAACTTAAAAAATCGAATCTTGAAAAAAGCAAAAATTATTCGAAAATTATTCGAAATTATTCTAATTAAAGAAAGAAGGAAGTATATAACATAGAATGACACGTCCTTTGGTACTGCCAACATAAAAGTCGATAAAAACTATATATCAATGTAATTCGTTTCAACACCCAGACGTACGAAACAGCAGGCGAAGCTAGTATCAAATGAAAACTAACGGGGTAACTAACGTTGTATATACCCGTTTGTAAAGTGCTTTAAAACCCGCGTTAAAAGATTTACTACGCTTTCGTAAAACAAAGTTAAACTTTAACTATTCAATCCTTTCAGACGGTGCGCGCGTAAACAACTTGTTTTAACTCGTTACTCAGCAAGAGCGGGAAAACAAACAAAGCCATTTATATCTTCGGTTAATTTACGTTGCGGATAGCTTAATAGGTGAAACGTTGGAGGTCAATGACCTGCCACGACCTGGCGCTAAATTTCAGCAGTTTCTCGGCCGAAATCGTTTGTATATTCACCAATGAAATAGAGTTAAAGGATTAGAATAGTAGGAATCTGCTTGGAGCATTTATTTCGATACAAAACTATGTCATATAATTAATATAAAAATTAACTCTCAGATACATCTTTAGCCGCGGAAGAAAAAGAAAGAGTTGACATATTCGTTTGTATAAAAAAATATTCAATGACAATATTTTACACCGGTTACCTAGTCCCAAGCCGTGATAGCTCAGTGTCCGGGCGCTCGCCTTTAATTCAATATACTCGAGCGACCTGAGTTCGATCCCCGGTGCCGCACCAATGAAATTGTTAATTTCAAGTGCTAAATTATCACATGCTCAGCGGTGAAGGAAAACATCGTGAGGAAACCTGCATATTTTCGAAATAATAATAAAAAAATATTTCGAAGATATGTGAAGTCCGCCAATACGCAGTGGGGCCACGTGGTGGACTATGCTCTGATACAGGCCGCTATATATAGGTCGATACTTTATTTTTATACGATAAAAAAAAAACAATCGAAATGAATTAATGTAATAATAATTTTGAACACCTTGTATTGTATGAAAGTTCCGAAGTTTGTCAGTTAAATCTGTCGGAGCTAATGCCACCGCAATTCAAAAAAGGTTTCAATTCAAAATAAATCAAAATAGAATCAAAAGTTACACAAAGTTTTTTTGTTTAACTGTGGAATACAGCGGAAGCGTTAGTGTTTTTTTTTTGTGTGATTGTTAACGTTCTTTGCATATTCTTAATCTGCTCAAACATGACTTTTGACATTTGCATATGTTAAAGACTTTATTGATGAAGGCTAACGCTATCTACTATATCTCTAATGTGTCATCCTTAATTTATTTCTTACCTCAATATCATTATTGTGATTTACTTATTATGATTCAGGTAGATAACACTACACATTATTATGATTCAGGTTTTTAACAAGCACGGCATTTTATTTAACGCGTTGGATTTTTAATTATACTAGAACTTGTGTAGAGGACGAAAATCCCAGACAGAATACATTGTTAGCTCAATCAGCCATTGTAAGCTGGTATTGTTTTATGCCATATATATATTATATAACATTGTTTAAACAACATATTTATGATCATCATGTAATTTTCTTACAGAATTAGTAAGAACTTGAATTGTTTTGGTTTTTGTAATTGTTTTTGCTTTATTGAGACATAAAAGTGTAATTACATTCCACTTCTGGTCCCTAACACTATCATATATATCATGTATAGGGCGCTGAAATCTGTCTTTAAAACGCAACTCCTACAGCAAACGCGAAGAAGAGTAAAGTAAAGCGTGGAATGTAATTGAAGCATCTTTCTGTTCGTCGCGATGGGATCCGTACGTGACAATCCCTACGTCCATTTCCTCTAGGAAATTCTTATAAAGCTTTGGCGCGGTGCAAGCGTCGAGCGGAAAGCGATTATATGAATCCTTACCAATATTATAAACGCGAAAGTTTGTATGGATGGATGGATGTTTGTTACTCTTTCACGCAAATACTACTGAATGGATTTTAATGAAACTTTACAACAATATAGCTTATCTTGTATCTTGTATCTTGTATTAACTGATGTTTGTGCTTTCAGTCCAGAGACTATTAAAGCTTAATCTGACGCAGAACCGGTGGGCTAGCCAGAACCCACGGGTTTGGGCCCTCCG